AGAAGTCATTTTAATTGAGCAACCATCGACAGTACATTATAGAAACGATTGCCATCGTATATCGCAATAATAATTTATAGAACCAAAATGAATCACAATTGTGACCGTAGATGGCGACACATACACATACACATACACATACACATACACATACACATACACATACACATACACACACATGCACGCGCGCGCGCAGAGACCCACGCACGCACGAACGCACGCACACACACGTATATATATCAGTCATTCACAGCCTAACACTTAGCATTTTGCTTCAGCTATCCAACTTCGCTAACCGGTCCTTTAAACACAGTCAACACATGTAGATGTTCCATGCTTGCACTTCTCAATTCGGCATAAAAAGGAGAATGACTTTAGTCTTTTGAATTGAAACCGGGAGCCTTTTGTGATGTAAATGATGTTAGAAACTAGGATTCATCATCCTTGAGCAGCTTATTCTTCAATAAAAGCCTTCAACTGGTATTTTTATATTTTCATGCTAATTCTCTCTTTCAGTTTCATATATAACGACCACGTACGCGTCCCTCAAAATACTGTACGAAATAAACAGTATAGCTTAAAGACGTCCAGGTGTAAGATATGTTGTTTTGCATAGAACGCTAGTGCTTGCAGCAAGAAGTACTAATTGAAGCATTAAGAGGTCAGATAACTACTAGCTATTCTCTGCTCAAAATGTACTTAAATCAGCACATACACGTTTGGTAATACATAATAAACTATACTGACTTTACACGCAGCATTTGACTTTGGAATCATGCACCTATGCGCCATACACGCATGCACGCAGGCACAACAGATGAGTGCAGGCTCCTCGCCTATTTAACTGAACAGATATGACACGTTATTAGCAGCAATGCAATAAATCCGAACTTCTTTGGTAATGACTTGCAATAAATTTTAACATCAATAGATAGGGTAATTTTATAAATTCTTTGCATCAAGGCTCTTTCCTCTCAACCAATTTTCGGAACCGCTATTAGGTAGCTATTTATATGGCAAATAACATCACCACACTTTACGACGATTAGCCGACTTTCGTAGACTAAAATGTGCAAATTAATGACACCGCAATCACAAATCCAAATTGGGAAAGCTGAAATTGTATTACATCTCAAATGATGCGCCTTTCAAATTTTACTATTTCTGTTTCAATGCGCTTTTGCTAGTCAGAAATAAATTATAGCATGATTACCACATAGCGGTTCGACACTTGCACAATTTACACCTCGTGAGACTTGTTAGCACTTGCCACACACACACACTGGTTCACAATCAGCAGCCCTCGCACTTCACACACGGCCATATTGATTTCCGACGCTTGGTATTCTATTTACAGGGATTTGTCAGAAATGCCATGATCTGCCTTTCAGTATAATACACTGAATTTAGTAATGGCGGCCGATAGAGTCGTGGAACCATGGTTTTTCGTGCAGTTACCATTCGTATATGTATACGATCCAATGACAAGCTGTTATATAATTGTATTATTTGTATATATGTGTACACACGCACGCACGCACGCACGCACACACACACACACACACACACACACAAAATATAATACTGGAGCAAACTATTACTAATCTGAGTTGATATTTAACTGCATCTGCCAACTGTTACATCTGACACGTTAGGAGATATTAATAAGCCATCAATATGTGGCAATTTCAGGCGCTTGGCAGGACGTATAACTGCAACCTTATCTTGGAGACAATAAATTCTGCCGCGAGAGCTTGTTTACTGGTCCCCGTAGTGTTGGTTCTAAGCCGAAATGTGTTAGCACTGTAAGGCAGGCATACAAAGTATCTCATATGAAGGTACTTTTCAAACAAACTGTTTCGCCATATCCCTAAGAAAGCCTCCAAGCAACAGTATTTGGGAGGTAAAGCTACAACTGCAAACGCAATACACTAGCTATTAACTATTCTGAACAGCAATTCCTGAACACAAACAACAAGGCTTTGCTAAATCGTGTGGTTTTCATAATAATGAATGTTACTCTGCAATGATTGCGTTCAACTACTATGATAGCAAGAGCTAACAATGAGTAAACTATAAAAAAAATTACTCCTTATGTAAATCGAGTGTTACTAGTAAGTTACTAGAAAGAACATTGTCACATATTTATAGCACAGAATTTAGAACTATAACTTTATAAAAGTTAAGTAAAATGGTAAAAATTAAAATGGCCATTTCATTGTAGGAACTACATGCATACTTTGAAGGAACACGACAAACGATGCAACATATATATTATTGTTTAGGATAACAGATTTAACCAATATTTTTCTCCATAGGCAAAACAGCACGAGTGGTGAAAATGAGGTACGCGATACAAAGAATAAAAATCTACATGTGCAGCATAGACACTTTCAGTAAGATCCTACAGCTGGCGTTGGCGTCTATAGAAACTTGAGTAACATTTTCCTAACCATGCAGTTATAACCCATATATTACCCTGTATAAAAATAATTAGGACAGTGATAACAAGCTCAATGGGGCGTTTTTGTACTAGGGAGATGCCGTAAATGACTTTTAAACTACGCTTTGCATTGTCATCTTCGTTGCATTTCTTTTGTGTAAATGAATGTTTGTTGTGCTTTACATTGTGCCACCCCAATTGAATTATCTGTTTATTTCCTATCCACAGAGACGACTTTAGGCTTAACATTCACCTGGGGGGGGGGGTGTTCTAAGTTCACTAATGTCTCTCACAAAACCAGCAACAATGATTTCTGCCTGCAGTTTCATCCCCTTGACACCCTATACAGGACAGAAAATTAAAAATTCAATGCCAAGAATCTTCTGTTCATTAGCCGAATTATAAAAGCATCGTTAATGGGTCATTGTTTCCCATATGCAAGACCATAGGCAATTAAATTTTAGCGGGTAGCACGCTTATAGAATTAAATTATGGCTCTATTTCCATATGAATAGGTCGGGGGAAAATGGGTCGTCGATCGTTAATAAAATGGCGATTGTAGCTTTTATAAAGGCTTATCAATGCTCGTATGTTTGCGTATAACAAACAATACAAAAACGCATTTTATTATAATAAAAGCACTACGTTTTAAAGCATATATATATATATGCCATATGAATTAATGACAAGACGTTTATCTTACTGTATATTACTATAGTATTTAATCAGGTATTGAAACCATAGCATATTAAACCCTAAAACCGCGACCAAGTTTCTAGAATATATAATTAGCTCCTGAAAATTAGCAAGCTCTAATAAAACGCGTGCACACGCGCCGTACGGTGGATCAAAAACAGATGAGTTACAAAAATTGACACAGATTTCCCCATTAACATTATATGAATAATTCTGATGAATAGCCGTGAACATTAGAAAACCATATGTGGCAGCCAATATGCTGTGCCCTGCATTAAGAATGCTGTGATCGTATGGTTAGAGACGATGCCTTCTAGCAATTAAACCTTGCACAAAAATAAACCCAGTAATCACTATAATCACCAAGACAAAAAGAACACCGGTGTGGCCCAGCAGACCATAGCCCTGTATTGCTCTTAGCAAGTAACATACAAAATAGGTTCATGACATGACACCACCATACATCAGGGCCACCATACTAGAGAGACAGAAGCGGGTGTTTATTTGCACGATTTTCATCCAACACGGTTCTCTCCTGCTATTACTCCCTATAATTAATTCACCACCTTATATACTCAGCTCATCGTATACAATGATCAAGCCGCGTATTCATCAATCTACGCCCATTATCTAGGGCATGAATTAGACAGTGAGTTAACAGTTAATTTGGTTTCATGAATTCATAACATAGCAACATATGTCCGTGAAAATGCCAGCTAGAATTTGGCTTGTGTAAAAACGGCATAGCACGGTAGACATCTGGCTCCCACTGCTCACCAAAAAGCAGTGAGCAACAAAATGAACAATCTCCTCCGGGAGGCAAATAATTACCACTCATTAATAATGAAGCCAAATTGATAAATAATAAACTACTTCATTTCCTCTGCAGTACATTTGCACAAAAAGCAACAAAGGTTAAATTTTAAAACAATTTCTCAGGAGACGCAGACTATGGCCTTCCAATCAAATCCAGTCACAAACATAATTGCAACATTATCTCCGTTTGTCTCACTAGCACGCATATTTTAAAATTCAAATAAACATCACAAATGACTCACTAGGAAAATCAGAGCATACAATACATTTATAGTTCCTGATAAACACGGAGCATAACCATGTAATGTTCCTTCTATAGTTAGCAGATGCACATTGCTGGCATAATCACAGAAATAATACTAAAAGACTATAGAATAAGTTAGACCTATAGAATAGCTATAGAACTACAGAGTAGAATACCATAGATAACTATGGAATAGAAATACAGAATAATACTATAGTGTCTCTATGTATTTCTATAGGCACAATGAAAGTAAGACATTGTAATTTGCAACATTGTGGAACATTGTAAAATGACAAGTAAGACATTGTAACTGGCAACATTGTGAAACATTGTAAAATGACAAGTAAGACATGATAAAGCTGGCCTCATATCCCTTGCTGTTCCCCTTCTGCGCAGTTATAACAGGTGCGTAAAAATTGAAATATTGTAGACTGCTTTTCTTAACATACACGCACACAGCAATGCACGCACGCTGGGCACGGCAAAACAGCTAGGGCATCTAAAAAAATTCCATTTAGTCAAACTTAGAACTGTAACTAATAATTTGAAACAAATGGTAGCTGATAAAAGTAGCTTAACAGCTAGGGCAAGTGCGAGGCAATGAAACCGAAGCCAAACATGCTGTATCATTCTCGCTATGTTTTTGTTCTTGTTGTGAAATTTGTGTAATGCAAGCAAAAAAATGTGAAAATCCAAGTTCATGAAAATCCCTAAAATAATCCGGTTAAATTTTTAAAATGTTGGGCTGAGAGTGTTCAGGTTTTATGCCAAAACCTCACAATAAAACTCCTTTTAACCACATAATAGAAAAAATAAGAGAGCTTCACACTTACCCTTGCATCGTAAGAACTGCTTGTATTGTTTGCAGTCCATGAATCGGACTCGGGAACAACTGCAATAACATAGAAAAATGCCGGCACGTGAGTCACATATATTCAATAACAGAAAATAGCTGGAAAATTCACTGAAACCGTCATGAATTAATTCAATATCCATAATAATGTAAATCTGTCATTATAGAAAATGCCAGTTGTCCTTCAAACCCTTTGCCAGTTGATACCGAAATTGGTAATAAGTTCAACTTTAAAATTTCAGAATTTTAACAAAGATATACATAAATGAAAGCACACACGCGCGCACTCACACACGCACGCACGCATGCACACACATTTTTGTTATAGCTATATACTGCTAAAACAAAATTGTCTGATTATACCCTGCCACAGGAATGCTAAGCTGTCAGAATCAATTCCCAATTTCCTTAAATGTTCAACGCAGAGAACAATACTGATGGAGAGCGACCCAGGCAGAAGTACTTATTCCATCAATTCAGCCATTCCAACTGATATGATCCCCTAATGGGGTTATTATCACTGGTAATTCATGCAGACAAATTTTTAATTGAATCTGTGGCTGCGAGCTCTGCGCGTAACTCGGCTGGATCAATCTCGCATTATCATAGCCTTTATCTGTCCAGTAGGCAAACTCCAGTTTTCTTCGGAAAAGTTTATCCCTTTTCCTATTACGGCTCACAGGAGTGGAGAGACATGCATCTCGGCAAAAATCATTGCTCACGTAAAGCTACCCTCGCGCCTATCCTGCCTTCACACTCACGGAGTGTTAGAGTATTTATAAGCTCAATCAACAAGATCGCTGTTGACACAAATCTTACATTCTACGTCATTCCTCGCAATTCCCCTACCAGAAGCCAGACGCTTCCTTAAAATATTTCACCACATTTATTATATTAAAATGCCATTATATGCACACACGCACACACACGAGCGCGCGCACGCACACATGCACATGCATACACATATATTTGTTATGACCTCGAGGTATCTCTTAAGGGATAAAACCTGCATATATAAGTTTATAATAACATGCCACATTGCAGCATGTTGTACTACAAATGATTACCTATATAATCACACTAAGTTAAGAGTTAATGAAATATGGTATGTCTAGAAGAGGACATTAATTCTACGTACAGGTACGACACGAGTTATAATTATATCTGTCTGAGATCTGTAATTAAGCCTGAGAACATGGCTATAGCTGGTAAGTGCTGCTAGAGCATTAATGTGTTAATTCTCATTAGGTTAAGCTTGGTCGAAAGGGTTTTGCTACATCTTGGGTTTTAGTTTTTCATACAACTAATTCTATATATTATTTATACAATAAATAATAAATTAATTATTTTATTTTATTTGTATGAATAACGAAAATCATACACACAGGTAAAATAGCATCGTACCTAAACAAATATACACCCGTTTTCTAAACAGGGTCATGTAGCAGTGTAATAAAATCAGGTCTAAGGTTCCTAAAACATAGATAGTTCTCTTATTATAATACATAAAATGTAGAAAGAAAAGGCGTAAATGACCTGCAGTGCAAGGTACCTGATAAGGAAACCACCCTTATCAAGTTCAATTAGATCACAGATTCCAGAAGATCTGACACAGGAACAATGCATGGTGACATCGAAAACTGAGACATACCCTAACATTTTTGCAGGGCGCCCTTCTCTCTGGAGGGCGTTTGCAGGGCGTTAGAAGGGCGCCCTGCAAACGCCCTCCATAAGTGCTACGCCCTGCAAACGCCCTCCTGAGACTTAGATATTTTAGCGTATGCCCTGCAAACGCCCTTCTGAAACTTAGATATTTTAGCGTATGCCCTGCAAACGCCCTTCTGAAACTTAGATATTTTAGGGCAGTATGGCCGCTGGGCAAACGCGGCTCATTGCTGATAACTCGATATTTTAGACGAATTGTAGATGCAGCGAAAGATTCCAGAAAGATTACTGAACAGGCAGACAATGCATAGGTGACAGTCGACAACTAGCACATCCGCTAACATTTTTGCCAGGGCGCCCTTCTCTCTGAGGGCGTTTGAGGGGCCGTTATGAAGGGCGTCCCTGGCAAACGCCGCTCCTGAGACTTAGATATATTTAGCGTATAGCCTGCAAACGCCCTTCTGAAACTTAGATATTTTAGCGTATGCCCTGCAAACGCCCTTCTGAAACTCAGATATTTTAGCGAATTAGATCACAGATTCCAGAAGATCTGACACAGGAACAATGCATGGTGAACATCGAAAAACTGAGACCATCGCTAACATTGTTTGCAGGGCGCCCTTCTCTCATGGAGGGCGTTTTGCAGGCGTTAGCAAGGCGCGCCTTGCAAACTCCCTCCTAGAGACTAGATATTTTTAGCGTATGCCCTCAAACGCCCGCTTCTTGAAACTTAGATATTTTAGCGTCATGCGCCTGGCAAAGCGCCCTTCTGAAACTTAGATATTTTTAGGCGAATTAGCGATCAAGATTCCGAGAGAGCAATGGCTGACACCAAGGAACAATTGCACTGGTGTACAACATCGAAAACTGAGACAATATGCACAAAAGAAATTGTCGTGAAACCCATAAAACTAAATATATCGCGAAACAGTTTAAATAAATAACACCCAACATATACTCGCATATCACATGATATTACATTGACAGGGAACAACTTAATTCTTGAAGATGTGATTTAAAATTTCAGTAGTGATAAGCTTTCATTATACGCGTGCAGGCATACACCTCAAATTAGGCGAATATTATATAGACTGTGGACGGAGGAAAAGATAGGGCAGGGGATGCAGCGTCACGAAACAAATTTGGCGTGGATGAAAACTTAGGTGAGAGATGGAACAGGGATATTGATAAGTTGAAGAAGAATAAAGGGGTAGGCGGTAGCGAAAATGCTAGAGGGCAGAGGCATTAAGCGAAAGAAGACGCAGGTAAATGGTGAGAGCAGGAAAAAATAAAATGGGCATGAAGTTAATCGCAAGAAGAAAAATTAAGTATATATGCGGCAGAAGACGAAAGGGTGAAAACAAGTGGATCATGTTTTTAAGTGTGGGAAAGAGAGAAGAGAATAAGACAGGAAGAGGACGATATCGTATGATGATGTCTGGCATTATGATACATTTTGGCTTCTCGGCGCGAAATCGTGTTAAAGTGTTAAATGAATTATAACAGCGTTCACACACGCGTTTAATATTCTTTGCCGGCTGCTGTCCTGCCTTACGAAACCACGCTTCTCTTTCCCAGTCTTCTGATCTCCATAAGTCCCATACAACGCGCTTCCCCGCTTTCCCTCACTCCCTTTTCTCCTTGAGCCGGCGGACTCCCGCGTCAACTCAGCTGTGTGCTGCCAGTATGACTCGATATACAGAGTCTACCTCTTCCAAATTGAAAAATACGGCTGAGACGCTTTCGTCAAGAAATGAGCATCGTTATAGTAGCAAAATATAATTTCCTATTTTTGCCCGTAATAGTCTTCGGCAGCTGAGTAATTAGCCCGCAGCGCTAGGCAGGCATCAGTAGTCTGAAGCACGCACGTATGCTCCACCAGGCTAGGCTACGGTCCGGCCGCAATCGCACGCAGCCCAACGCACGCACGAAGCACACAGCGCGCGCGCGGCAACGCAGCGCACTGGCCACACACATCCACGTACACCCGCGCCAGCAGAGGCGCACGCACGCACCCATCAGCAGTACACGCTACACACACGACGCACACAAGGCGCAAGCACGCACGCACACACACCGGCACACACACAGACCGCAGCGCAACGCGCGCGCCACGACGCCAGCACGCACTGCACAGCACGCACACACGCGTACGCGCGCCGCAGCAACAGCACGCACGCACGCACGACACACAGCCCAGAGACGCAAGCACACCACACACAGCACACACACACAGACACATACACGCTAGCAACACACATATATATACAGCACACGCGCACTAGGCGCAGACACGCACACAGCACACGCACACGCACTACGGCATGTTACGCCGATACGCAACACATATCACATACACATAGCACATACACATACACATACACATACACATACACATACACATACACATTACACATACACATACACATACACATACACAATACACATACACATACACACACATGCAGCGCGCGCGCTGCTAGATGACCCAGCAGCGCACGAACGCACGCACACCACGTTATATATAATCAGTCATCTACAGCCTAACACTTAGCATTTTGCTTGCAGCTATCCAACTATGCTAACCGGTCCTTAATACACAGTCAACACATGTAGCATGTTCCATGCTTTGCCCACATTCTTCAATTTCGGCCCATAAAAAGGAGAATGACTTAGTCTTTTGAATTGAAACGGGAGCCTTATTTGTGATGTAAATGATGTTAGAAACTAGGATCAGTCATCCTTGAGGCAGAGCTTATTCTCTTCACATAAATACGCCTTCAAGGACTGGTTATTTTATATTTCATGCTAATTCCTCTTTCAGCTTTCTCTACTATATACGACCACGGTACGCGTCCCTCAAATACTGCTGTACGAAATCAAAGATATAGCTTAAAGCACGTCGCAGGTGTAAGATATGTTGTTTTGCATAGAACGCTAGTGCTTGCAAGCCAAGAAAGTACTAATTGAAGGCATTAAAGGTCAGAATAACTACTAGCTATTCTCTGCTCCAAAATTGTACTTGAAATCACCACATACACGTTTTGGTAATACACTAATAAACTTACTGCACTTTACACGAGGCATTTTGACTTTGGAATCATGCGACGCTATGCGCCAATACACCGCAATGCACGCAGCAAGTGCAGACGATGAGTGGGCAGGCATCCTCGACCTATTTAAACTGAACCAGACTATGAACACGTTATTAGCTAGCATGCAATAAATCGAACTTCTTCTGGCTAATGACTTGCAATAAATTTTAACTTCAATAGATAGGGTAATTTTATAAATTCTTTGCATCATAGGGCTCTTTCCTGCTCAACAATTTGCTGGAACCGCTCATTACGGTAGCTATTTATATGGCAAATAAA